CAATCTAAACTAAGTCCAATAGGAAACAAAAGTCAAACTATAAACCAGTCCAAAATTAAACGGGTTAAAGAATATATATATATATATAGGTCTAATAGTTAAAACAAAAAATTGTTAATTTGTTTTAAAAAAATAACATAAATTGATTTATCTAAAAAAAAAATTCGATTTTTCGGTTATTGGTCTAGAATCGAGAATCGAACCAAATTAATCGATTCTCGATTTAGATACCCGTTCGGATTTTTAATTTAGGAAAACTCGTTCAATTTGGTCCGATTCGATTCGAACATTTTGTACAGCCCTACTTCTTAGAGGATTTTTTGCTATTAATTCTTTAAATATTATCCCATGGACCTTTTCTCATTTTCAATATTACATTTCTCCCCCTACACAGTGAAATTGGAGCCCATGTAAGTAGAGTCTTTCCCGTCTTTAACAATGTCCGTGCCTATCATTTTTCTTGCTACATTTGTCTTAAACAATACAAAGATCCAAAATATTTCAGAGTTCAGATTTCTTATTACTTACCCGTAAAGCCTCTGCTCTATGCTCCTATGTTCATATCTTTATTTCAATTTGCATGCTACAAAATCACCAAAAAAGGCGCACACAAACACCATTGGCACACTGTAGCTAATCGCCTATGCACATATATCTATATGTATCTGCATGTTCTTTATGTTTAGAACTTATTCATGATCTCTTTATGTCTATGGTGTTCAATCTTGCTTTATCAAAATGGGTTTGTGTTATATTTGAATTCTAACTAAGTTCTTTTTTTATTTTTGTTTGTTTTGAAGTTAGTGGGGTTTCTGGGTTTTAATTCAATTGGGTTTTTTCCTGCACTGATGGCACCTTTGAGAGGAAACAAAAAGAAAAGGAAGGTCGAGAATAAGGATGAAGAAAACTCTTTGGTTTCTGGGTCTTCAGAAGACGGCTCTTCTAGCTGGTGGAATGCTTTCTCAAAGAAAATTTCTGGTAATCCAAATTCTATATCAGTTTACTTTTTGTTAAAAATCGAATATTTTATGATAATTTTGATGTTTTGTTTGTTCTGTTGATAATTTAAGATATAATTGGAGATTTTTAAACATCTAATCCTGATTGAATTTAGATTTTTTGTCTGTTTAATCTAATTTGGCTGCCCTTACATTGAATTTAGATGCTGTGTGTTTTTCGAATGTGTATGAATGTGTTGTAGAAGATCCCTATTTTGCTTTGATTTTTGACTTTTAAGTTATCCTTTCGATTAATGTTTCGGTTTCATTAATTTGACATATGATTCAAGAAATTGTGCGAGTTTCATTACAGTGAATTAACATGTTTGTATTTTGTGAATGCGTATGAATGTGTTAGTTCTCTATTTTGCTTTGAATTTCAACTTTTGTGTTATCCTTTCAATTAACATTTTGGTTTCATTAATTTTCAAAATTATTCAAGAAATATGCGAGTTTAGCCATCTTTGAGCGGATATATAAGCATCATCGTGTCATCTTCGTGCGGATGTATAAGCATCATTGTGAAGATTAGCACTTACTGATACCTTTTCTTAAGAATGGTAACAAATCTACTGGAACATTTTGGGAATAAATTGTTGCTGTTTCAAGAACTAATTAATTCTATTTTCTTCAAAACAGATAATATGAGAAGCTCCTTCTGTTCAATGATGATAACGCCATTTCTCTTTGGATGTTAGTTATTATTTTTCTGTAGCTCCAATGAAGTATAGGATTGTGCTGTTAAAAGCAATTTCAGAAGCCACATTATCAATTATCTTGTAGTTTAGTGTTTGTGCAACTGTTAAGGAACACAATTTTTTCGTCGTAGTTCTAAAACCTGGAGTCCTCTTATTTTTTACTGAAGTTTAGGGTAATGAATATTGATTTTCATTGTTTGGAGGGGGAATTAGTTGGTGACTATGGGGTTCTTGAGCATATATGAATTTATTTTCATTGTGTACAATGGCATTAGTGATTGAAAATATTAATCTATATGAGACTTTGAAAGGAGTTTCTAATTAATTGATGGTGTATCTGATATGCATAGAACTGCGTTCATATATATAAAAGTGTGCCATGGGATGTAGATATTACTTACTACTTATAAATTCAGAAAGGTTTTTAAGTTGTTGGCACAATTCAACAACTTATATGTGCAAACTTAGTCCATGTTTAATATACAGTACTAGATAGGGTGAACAGTTTAATAAACTATATTTTAGCTTATTTTTCTTCCTTAATACTGTCCAATACTCCTCACCAAACATGCCATTACCGTTTAGAAGTTGATTGTTTGGTTGAGTTTGAAGCCTAATGCACTTATGAGCCCTTCTTTCTTGTTGGATTCTATTGGAAGTGTAGTCCTAATATCCTGTAGACTGAATGAAGAACTTGTGAGAAAACACCCGTGTTAGGGATGGGACCTTGTCCAACAAAGATACATATTTGTGTCAACAGAACATAAGTTTTATATTCAGCTGATGGAAATAACTAGCACATCTCTCCCTGTAACATATATTTTTTGTTGTGGAGGGAAGGAAAATAACTGGAATAGAATGTTTGCATAGGCATATTTTTTAGAAAACCAACCGGTAAGTAGGATATGTACCCTTGGTTTGTTTTCCAATCCTTCTTTTGCATATGTTCAGGAACTAAATCATAACATCCTCCTCTTTTAGTATTATTTTAACTAGAATAGTGTGGGTAAGGATTCATTCTAAATCCTCCAGCGGGCACAGTGAATTTCTTCTTAAAAAAAAATAAAGCAAGTAAAAGAATGAAAAATCAATGGAACTGCTCGAGATTTCATATAGGTTTTAGCTTATTATCTTATTAAACAGATGATTTTGGTAAAAAAATATTGAAAAAGTAACCGATGATGGGCTACATTTTTTATATTGAAGGAGCCGCATGCTGTTGACTGAACGTTAGCACAGCATTCTATTATTGAGTCTCTTACTTGTAGAAGACAAAAGGAGATGTATAAAACTCCATTTGTTGCTTCTAATGCAAAGTCAATGCTTCTAAATATTTTGGGGTACATGCAATGTGTTAAATAGGTTCTGTTTCTAATATATCTGCAAACCAATTCACCGAAACAATTTAAGGAATCACACTAATATCCAGAAATAGCGAGCTTAAAAGTTCGGAGTTAACTAAGGTAGTTTATAGTGACAGAGAGTTGGAATTATACTTAGACTAATACTCATGAGTACAATAAGTGCATATTTCATTATTTTAGAGGAATTGATAATAGAAAATACTTGAATTTATTTATTCTTCCTTGTTACTGCCCATTAGTGTAAAGTACACAGTACCTAACAAGTCATAAGAGATTTCTTCACAACCTCGGCAACTAAAACCAAATATCGGAGTTATATCATTAGTCTGAGTATCACATGAAACGAGGAAGAGAATCAAGAGACATATTCTCAGTCCTATCTGTTGTCCTTGTTCCACTATCCAGGATGTATTCTTTTAGATTCATGAACTAAAAATAGATTGATGAACTGACTTTGTTTGGATTGATTTTGGTTTTGATTTAGCTGCTTCTTTCTTTAACATGGGTTTCCATTATTTGTAGCTTGTTTTCCTATCTGTAAACAGTCATCTAATAGCTCGTCTTCTTATATAATTTAAAATTGTCTTTTGCTCATGTGCCTACACTGTTGATTTATGTATATTTACAAAGTGGCTTGTTTTCTTAAACTTCTGATCAGAAAAGGGCAGTGATTTTTTTTAAACTTTGATTTTCTATAATATTTTTCTGGGGATCCTCTTGAAATAGTTTCTCAAAAATCAGGAAAGATGATTATAACTGAAGCTTTCCTATTAATTTTATGGTTGTTTTAAAGATCTGCCAATGAACTTCTATATTTATTAGACAGTGCTCGTAAAATATCTCATTGTGGTGTAAATATGTAATCTTTGAATACTTCTTGTAGATCTATTAGAAATATATGATGAACAAGGTCGATAGTTATGAACTAGCAAATGAAGCACGTTAGAGTATAGCAAGTGCAAGCGATATATCTACATTTTCTGAGTGATGTTCGTATTTTGCTTGAGATTTATTAGAAAAAGTACAGCATCTAGGAAGGTTCCAAAGTCTATCAGAATAGAAGAAATTGTTTCATTTTATCATTAAGGATGATTTGAAAGAATTTTCACTTTTTATACATCATGTGATTTTCAGATTTAAAAAAAGTTTCTGTACCATGTGAACCCCACCCGTTCTAGCATTGTAATCCTTGACTCTAATGGTTCTAAAATAGATCGTATCAGAACCAACCAAACAAAAAAAGGTTATTCAAACCTTGTCAATATTTTGTGCACAGTAGCTAGCATTAGAAGCATTATTACTGTAAACATTAGCAAAACTGAATTAGAGAGTTAGGACTGAACTTATGGTTTTACAGGATACCACAAAATTGTATGATTGCTTCTTGTGATTGATTCCGTATCTGAATCCTGGAGTTGTCTTTTGCATATTTACGTTTATTGGGTTTTCAAATAAGATGGAAAAAACAATTCCTTCTACTTCCAATGCAGGTAAAAAAAAAACTGAGCAAAAATGGTTGTTTGTTGTTCATCATATGATATAGCTAGATAGCCAAATCTTTCTCCTTGTCAATGAGATTGACAGAGATCATGAAGATTGATGAAGATCACAAAGATTGACGAAAATTATAACTCAACATAATTATGTGTATAATTATATTTAGTTTATTTAGGTTGATTATATCTCTCATATATAGATTGATACTATAGTTGTATAAGGTAATATTTTCCAATATAATGCAAGGAATCCCTTAAGGAAAATTCATTCGGTCAAAAGTTTGTTATCATATTAGAGCCTACCTCGTAGACTTTATATTGAATCATTGATTTTCTTTGGGTATAACTCAGCTTCTGAGGTGTGGCTTTCATGTGGTGATCCACGAACATAATTTTTGTCAACGTGTGACTCTCGTGGTTGATCGATGGTTAACAAAATTTTTCGTGTGAATTTTGTTGTAGTTCATGGTAGATAGAATTTTTGTCAAGTGACTCTTGAGATGGTCCACAATTGATAGATTTTTGTCAACGTGTGACTCTTCAGTGCATTGAATTCTTTTGTAGGAGGTCCATCGAGGCTTATTTTGGCCGTGTAGATTGTGGCACGTGCGTGTGGTTATTTTGGGCTACTAATTGGAGTTAGGCCTTTTGATTTCTTTTGTACACTATTCAACAAATTGATGTGTCTTGATCATCCAACATCAACATGAGCAAGGGCGGACCCAGCACCCGACAAGTCCTCGCGGCTGCCCGTGCTGGATCCGCCGAGGACAATTTTTTTGGTTGAAAATGAATAAACTTTTTAGATTATATAACTGGTAATTTGTTTTATTTTCAAATGTTTCTTGTAACTCAACGGGGTAGAGCTCCTATATTCATATAGATGGTCCTATTTTCGAATCCCTTTCCCACCTTTTTTATTGTGCAAGATTTTTAATACTATAATTTTTACCTTTTACCAAAATTAAATGGGATGGAGAGGTGATTCGAAACCGTGACCCCTTCTTAGGATAATAAGAGTTTGACCGTTGTGGCACTTCTTGAATTTGACTCTAAATCTACCAGAATAATATATGTTACATTTTAGCGGGTTTAATGCAATTCTAAATTTGAACTCATGCTCTTCCTTTGAATTAAACAAAACTTGGTCACAATATTATTTGGTGGATATTTCTAATTTTTACAACAAAATTATATATGTTCAGTTTGAACAAAATAATTGTTNCAAAATGTATTTTTTGCAAAAAAAAAAAAAAAAAATGAGCATCAAATGAGACTCTTAATATTTTATTGCTGACAACGGTCGACGATCTACGGTCGCCCGTGCTGACCCAAAATCCTGGGTCCGTCACTGAACATGAGGGGACGTCAATGAGATTGATAGAGATCATGGAGATTGACAAACATTATGAAATTGACGAAGATCATGACTTAATATAATAATGTATATAGTTGTATTTAACATATTATAGAATTGTATTTAGTATATTTATGTTGATTATATCTACCATATTTAAATTGATACCATAGTTGTATAATGTAACATTTCCTATATAATGCATGGAACCCCTCGAGGGAAATTCGTTCCTTCAAAAGTTTGTCACTCCACATATGGCTCCACTGGAAATAATATTACGGGTATAACAGATGGAAAATGGTATCTTAATGTATTAGGGAAAATATCCTGGAAGGAATGGCTTTAATTTTTCAACTGTCGTCTCGATTTAATTCAGGCCTGCATTAAGTGAAAGTGGATGAACAAAATGACTTCTTCCTTCCTAGTTAGGCAGTTTCAGGAAACCTTCTGTCTATTAACAGTTTTATTTATTTATTTTTATTTTTTATGATATGACATTAGGTAATCAAAGTAAAACTAACAGGATGATGTCCATTATCCAAAAATAAGTATCTGTAGATGTTTAATTCATAAGGAATGGAAGTCCACAGGGAGGTTCATGTCCTCAGGTTTTTCTGGTTCATAAATTTAGCATGGCAAGTTAAGCATCCCCTAATGGTTTGCTTGTGTGCCAAGAGCTTGTAGAATTGGTACCACTTAATTGCACTAGTCTGGATTATACTTTAAATTGAACAGTACTAATCAGTTATCACATCTCAATTTGACTTTAGAATGTTGCTCATTTTTTGAAATGTGCATTCTAGCTTGACATTCATATTTTTCCCTTCTCTTTTCTTGATAAGTTGGTTGGCACATCACTTTAGCTGATATATTTTGCACACTATAGAGCCGATATATATTTCTTATGTTCATGGACTGTTTTTCTTATTGGCATTTCACACTATTTGAGGCATTCTACTTTACGTGTCATGTAGGATATTCGCACAATTCTTGTTTATCAATAAAGACCTAACAGATTGTGATCTATTTTTCTCAGATCAGTTTACTACTTTTTCTTTGCAGGTAGTCCATCTCAATCAAAGGGATTGGATAAGTTCAAATCTACTTTCCAAATGTCAAGAAACACATTCGACTATATATGTTCCCTGGTAAAAGATCACATGATGGCCAAAACACATTTTTCTTTTTCAAATGGAAAGCCATTGTCATTACGTGACCAGGTAGCTTTAGCTTTGAGAAGGCTATCTTCAGGAAATTCGCTAATCTCAATTGGTGACTTGTTTGGGGCACACCATTCAACAGTGTCTCAAGTGACGTGGCGTTTTATCGAGGCCATTGAAGAAAATGGACTTCACCACCTCCGCTGGCCTTCTACTGAACGAGAAATGGCCGAGATTAAAACCAAGTTTGAAAAAATCCGAGGCCTTCCAAATTGTTGCGGCGCGATTGATACCACACACATAAAGATGATGTTAACATCATCTGATCAGGGAGCTGACACGTGGCTTGATCGCAAGGAGAATCACAGCATGATCCTGCAGGTGATTGTGGACTCTGATTTGAGGTTCCGGGACATAGTCACAGGATGGCCAGGAAAGATGAACGATTACTCAGTTCTCCAGAGCTCAAATTTCTTCAAACTATGTGAGAAAGGAGAGAGGTTGAACGTGGAGAAACTAACTTTGTTAGAACAAACTGGAGTTGGGGAATATATAATCGGTGATACTGGGTATCCATTGCTGCCTTGGCTAGTGACTCCTTATCAAGGTAAACAACTTTCAGAATCCAAAGTCGAGTTCAATGAGAGACTTTTTGCAACTCACATTGTTGCAAAGAGGGCATTGGCAAGGCTGAAGGAAGGATGGAAAATGATTCAAGGAGATATGTGGAGACCTGACAAGCACAAGTTACCGAGGTTTATTTTCGTATGCTGCATTCTCCACAATATTGTTATAGACATGGAAGATGAGGATTCAGATGAGGGGCCTTCGTCTCACCATCACGATCCTGGATATCGTGACGAGGTTTGTGAATTTGTTGACGAGTCTGCTTCGAATTTGAGGGACAAGCTATCTATGCATTTATCTGGGAGTCTGCATTCTTAAGTCAATCTTACATGTGATGGAGTTACTCTCATCATACAGTTAAATAAGATAGGAGAATCCACGGAGAAAAAGAAAGTGAGTTTTAATTTTCATCCAGGAATGCACTTTCTTTTTTTATTTTTTAAATAAATTTCAGAAGGTTAATACTTAATTTTTGCTATTTCTATAGAGATCTTGGCGACAGTTTTGTGTATTTCAATTTGTTATGTTTCATGTGAGTATTGCTGTCAGCATATGATGCCACAGTAGATAAGTATCCTGGGCTTCTCCCAACCCAACCTTCCCTTCCTTCTCCGGCCCCTGCCCGACTACCACATCCCAGTAACTTCCCCTTATTGACCAATTCCGAAGCACGACCAGCCCCATATTTTGGTGATCCTTATAAGCCTTCATGAAGTGACTGAGAAATGGTCTTTATTTTCCAATATACCTGCTTTACTATAGAGAGTAATTTGCTGATGCTTCTCTTCCCAAAGAAGGTATTCACTGTTTTTATGCAGATAGTAGATGTTATAAGTTATTACATTGGGGAACAAACATGATGCAGGATCAACGGGAAGAAGAAGTAGAAGGAAGAAGAAGCAGGAAGACAGGGGAAGAAGAAAGGGAGCAAGAAGCCGTGAATAAAAGGGAGGAAGAAGAGAAGGGGGAGGAAGAAGATAACGTGGCTGCAAGCCAATCTCAATTCATCATAATCATTGTCTACCTTCAATGTTCAATACAAGAAGAAAACGAGAAAACCTAATGCATAACAGGGCCTTGGGCCAGCCCGTTACGACAAGCACAATAAAATGAAGACATAATTAATAGAATCCAATAACAATAAAAAAAATAAATCTGATATCCGCATCAACTCTACCGGGGTGGGAGAAANACAATAAAATAAATAAATCTGATGTTCGCATCAACTCTCCCGAGATGGGTGAAAACTCCACCCTGTCGAGTGGATAAGTCATAAAAGGCTGTGATCTATCAATACTTAAAATGCTTCAAGTCATGCCACGGGGGACGATCTTTATGACGAACCAAATATCGAAATTCCACAAATGATAACAAAGATAGTTGCAGCATAGCCCCAAGGATATGATCCAACCAAGGAGGACGATCTCTCTTTCTAATCACATACCGATACTGAACTCCAAATAGTAAAAACTTATGCAACTCGTCTCCAAAATCTTCACGTGGTTGTGCATGATGAGGAGCACAAAAAGCTAGCAATGGAGACTGGTCTCATGAGACTCAAAGAGTCCAACAATACCCCAATCATGATTTTCCATTTGGCACTGTTACGGTGGCAATGCGGCAACTAAACAAACACCCAACCCGAGGCTCAAGTTTGGATTTTTAGCAATTGGGAGGGGTGGCCGGCGATGACGAGTGGATAACTGCAGACCGGTGGTTGTGGGTCTTTTTCTAGCGGCGACATGGGAGACTTTATGAGGGGCGGCGGCGTTAGGAGAGGTGGAGTGGAGTTTCCTCCCTGTTTCTTCCCTATATACTTGTTCTCCTCTTCTCAGTCTTCTGTTTTTGTGGCTGGAATAGAGACGGGTGTGCGGGTCGGGGCGATAGAGATTGTTGTCGATGGTTATATGTGGGTCGGGGCAGTAGAGGCGGACTGTAATACTAGGGAAGTTGAGATGATTGGCTGCGTTCTGGGTCCTGTTGTTGACGGGTGGTTGAACAATTTTTTTTTTTTTTTGCTTCTGCTGTTCAAGGCTGAATTTTCGACTGGTGGTATATAGTTCTGTTGGTTTATTGTGGTGAATGAGGGTGGAAAGAGTGCATATATGTTTACTTGACAGGTTTGTATGGTAGAAAGTGGTGAGGGAAGTTCTAGGCTACAAAGGAAACGAGTGGCTCCCTTGGATGAATTGTTGAAGGTGATGAATTGTTACCCAGGTTTAGCTCTGATACCACTTTGATGCAGGATCAACGGGAAGAAGAAGTAGAAAGAAGAAGCAGGAAGACGGGGGAAGAAGAAAGGGAGCAAGAAGCCGTGAATAAAAGGGAGGAAGAAGAGAAGGGGGAGGAAGAGGATAACGTGGCTGCAAGCCAATCTCAATTTATCATAATTATTGTCTACCTTCAATGTTCAATACAATTCATATAAATAGAAGAAAACGAGAAAATCTAATGCATAAAAGGGCCTTGGGCCAGCCCGCTACGACAAGCCCAATAAAATGAAGACATAATTAATAGATTCCAATAACAATAAAATAAATAAATTTGATGTCCACATCAAAACATCGATTTAAACGATCGACATGGTTACTCTACAACTGATATTATAACTGTCATTACAATTTACAAAGTCAATCTCTCAGTACATTGGAGAGTTACTATTATACAAGGTTAGGGAGGGCATTTTCAGGACTGCACAAAAGACGAGGTAGTACATAGTAAATACTACAGTTGCGAAGCTTCTTCCAGTGTACTCAGGGATTTGTCAATGCAAAATGAAGATAACAGAGAAAAATTATCATGCTGATCTTCACTGTGGTCATCATATACATGATGCTATATTTCCTTCTTTGTAAAGCCGGGGGATATACATCGATATGAAGTCGATGAGAGAAGTGAGTGAGAAAAATGTAAATTCGTCATGAATCAACATAAATAAAACGTAACACATTAAAAAATGTTCGTAAAGGAGAAATTAAGAAATCGGACGATAGGCTTATTAATTTATACCTTTTCTTGAAACAGATTCTGCATTTTGTTTTAAAAGTTGCAACCTTTTTGAATGGCTATTGCCCTTGGATAAATGACCACATTGAAATGCGATATATATGATCATTCATAAAGTATTTTACACACAGAGTATTCTTAATCTACTACCTCGATTTTCTTAAGAAATAATCCATCTTTTGTGTATAAATTTTTCTTCTGAGTTCATGTAAAAGATCAGTGATAATATATAGCAAAGTAAATGCAACTACTCGAGCCAAAAAAATGATGAAAAACAACATTGTAACATGTGAGGAAAATATTGTTTTATGAAAAGGGTTAAGCAGTAGGAATAATGCCTATCTCATGCTAGAAGAACTTGACACGACATGATATGACTTTCCAATCCACTTCTTAGACTTTGACCACAAATTTGTAAAAAGATTCCTAACATGCCCTAATGATTTTGTTGTTACTTTTAGTTGTTTGTGGAGGTAAGTACATATTGCTGTCCTCGTAATCTTTTTCCTAATCAATATACACGGGTAGGGGACGTGATGCCAAAACCCACGTTCAATCTTGAGATAAGTAGCCTTAAAACACTTATCTCAGCTGAATGTCTTTTGCAAAAAAAAAAAAAAGAAAGGGTAACATAATCAATTTTCCTTCCTCCTTGCAGCGCGCCCAGACACGCCCTTAATTAACCAAAAAAAATTACATCTTCATTAATAACAAATTAATTATTAAACAAAAATATTAAATATAAACTAAGCAAACGTGCATTGCACGT